TTATGGACTAACCCAAGATCTCTTCCTTCAGGTAAATATGGCGATGATCTCTCGGAGTCAGCAGAATGCGTTAAGCACCTCTGGACATCTCTAGGACARTTTWCTAACGATGAGCGAAGTCGGTTTCTTCGTTTCGTGACGGGAAGGCGTCGTCCACCAGCACCGTTCACAGTAGCTAAAGCAGGAGGAAGTAAGGACGCTCTTCCTCACGCATCTACYTGCGCAAGCTCGTTGTTCTGGCCTAATTATCCCTCGGCTGCTTTGRCTACAGCTAGATTAAGGTAGGTTGTTTTTTATTTAAAGCATAATATACTCTTTTACCACAAATGTGAATTTTCTCGCTTTCTGATTGGCGGAGAGTCGTGGTAAATAAGAGGACATACCAACAAATTACGAATCGCTTGCGCAAGGGGCCCGCGCGCACTAGACCGTTTTTTGTTGTATGTCCACTTATTTAGCACCATATGACTTCAACAGTTGGTCAAAATTAGTTATGTAGCAACATAGGATACGCCTTGTGAGTACATAACATTTTCACCAACTGTTGAAGTCATATGGTGCTAAATAAAGGTACGGACACGGTGCAACATGGCACGCAACATCACACACAACAGGACTGTTGCAGCGTGTGTCTACCCCTGAAACGGTGAAACATTGCATGCAACAAATTTGAAGTTGAATCGCGCTCTACTCTTGCAACATTGCGCGCAACAAATTTCATCGTGTGAACATGGCTGCAACATTGCGTGCAACATTTTGAAAATTCCAGCCAATCAGCTTGCACCAAATTTATAACTGCTGACCAAATTTCTTAACATAGCAGGCTGACACAAGCGATGTTGTGTGATTTTGTTGCAACGTGTGTCACCCCGATTCAAATTTGTTGCTTGCAATGTTGCGTGCAATGTCGCACCGTGTGTCCGCACCTTTAAGAGGACACAAAAATCCATCAGAAATTTGTTACGTTTTAATCGGAAAGACAAGTGCCGACAAGGGATGGGAGGTTATGATTTTCCTAACGTGCGCAACGTGCCCGTAACAGAACCTCACGTGAGTTTGTCAGACCTGCACGTGAGTGTGTCAGACCTGCACGTGATTGTGTCAGACCTGCACGTGAGCGTGTCAGACCTGCACGTGATTGTGTCAGACCTGCACGTGAGCGTGTTTTTGAAAAATCTAAATGGATTCACCAATTAATTGGTTCTCTGTTTGGCTGTAGGTATGCGATCTACAACTGTATCGCCATTGATACTGACACTAATCCTTGGTAATCGCCTTTCGCTATGTGYCCGAATCCATCCCGAATCAGTGGTAAATCGGAATATTCGAGTCTGTCCGACTATACCAAAATGATCAATCGAAATACTCCAGTTTAAAGTTATTTGTTGCTCAGGGTTTGCCTCGGTTGTGT